AGGATCTTGGACTAGACTTCGAGGGCTAGACGATTTCCAAGTTGATACTATGGGTTTAGTCTTTGGAACCACTGGTTACCAGCTATGTATAGTGGTAACTGGATGCCCTGGGATTAATATAAAATAAATACAATTTTAAACAATAACGATGCAAATCTCGTTCCTTCTCAAGGGGCAATTGATGATTTGGAGATGGAGCCTTCGCTTGAACAAGCGCTCCATCACGAGTCTGGCGCTGCTACATGGGGGCACCTGCGAATCGCCGACCGAGCAGGGAAGAAAGCCCGAGGTCGTTGCGGGGCTTCTTTTCGGCAACATCTAGAAGAAGAGACACTTCCTGGCCATCTTTTGGAGATACTTTCACGGCAAAGAAACGGAGAACGTCTGCTTTGCCCAAAGACGGAAAGCCCTGGATTTGTTGGATCTTTCTGTATCGCAGCATCTTCAGAGATCCAGTGAAACCAGTGAACATTCAGCGAGTCGCCCTTACTTGCTGCATCGCCCGAGCTATGGACGGACACGTTGGGCTTCCAAGGCTGGTTTTCTTCAAAAACCGTTTGCTTCAAATGCACTGTCAATCCGTTGGCACGTCATTTCGCCCCTCGGGCCGAACCAAACGAACCCCTCGCACCCTGTTCAACCTCTCGGAGACGCCATGCAAAACACCGTGAGACGACACATCCCGCACATCAGGTCCGCCTGTGCGCGTAGCTTAGTCGTGCGCTGTAGCCGCTCGCATGGCTGGAGCTGCGAAGCCGCCCATGGCGGCTTGGAAGCTGCGAAGCCGCAGAAAAGGGATGGAAGAAAGGTCTCCCAGACTACTCGAAGGCTCAAGCTACGCCGCCTGTCACATACTCGGTGTTCGAGAGCACCAGAGTTTCTGTACCAGTACCTTTGGATTCATCGTGTCCTCACAACATCTCTCCTATTCCTTGGATTTGTTTCAGCTACTTGGATGGCTAAGATCTCTGATTACAAAAATATTTGCTTAAATGTTGCCTATACGAGCTTTCAAGGAGTCACCAAACCGGCTGTGACCTAGAGTCTAGAGGCTCAATGTCATTGCGCCTGGGTACAGGTGGCCCAGCTTGCCTTCCAACCCATTCTAATGGTTCTAACTTGATCTGATTGTCTCTTCGGAATGGCAGAGTGAATCTGAGTAAAGAAAAAGCCGGTTGCTACAGGGGCGATCAAGGACCCCTCTTGTTGTAACGTAGTCTTGAAGATGTTCGGGGGGGGTCTAAGGAAAACTTTGTTCGCTTTCTGTGTTCTCCTTGTCTTGTCCATGAGAAAACGTGTCCCATCTTGCCCCCTTGGCCCAAACAGCCGCAGAACCATACACAGGCAATGATGGCCCTGATCCAATTCACTCCCCAGGATACCGTAGACCAGGGACTCCTAATTCAACACTCTGCTCCACAGACAAGGACTTTTGAGAGGCGAGGTTTTTGTTGAGCATGCCTGCCTCGAGAGCTTTTGGAGCCCAAGCAGAGCCCTTGAGGGAACACCAGCAATTCCCATCATGATGTATTTTTGAATGAAATCGTATCCACATAAGTTGAAGTGACCATGGCGTGACTGTTGTCCTGCGTATCAATGGCACAATGATGGCTAGATCGAAGAAACAACACCCCCACGGTCCGTCAACAATTCAACCCCATCAAGTCTCCAGCACGAAGTCCCCGTGCTCACAAATCCAACATCCCCCAGGTGCCCGGACGGTGAAGCCGTCGTCCGTGGGCGCGACGCCCGTCTCCTAGACGCCAAATCTCCTGGTCCTAGTGGTCCTTTTGGGGTGATCAAGGCTCCAAAAAATTACGTTTCATGGAACTATACTTGGTTTTTCCAATGGTTTTTCTTGCAGCACCTGTCTTCCTTTTCGGCTTCCCTCTGCTCGGGTCATAGCAAGGTCTGCCCAAAGCAGCAAGCTCACTAAGCTCCAAATGAGTGCAACAAAACACCCATGGTCCAAAACAGTAAATTTATTGTCCATTGCTCTAAGACTTTGTCGGTTGACCTTGCGGTGTTTAGGAACGTGATTGCCGGGGTTGCTAGGGATCTTGGTTGTTCGTTGGTTCGTGGTGTTGTGTTTTTTTCGTCGACATGGCGAGGAAGGTTGGTGCTTTGGAGGACGAGCCTCTTGTTGCTTGGTATCGAGATGGTTCTTCGAGGAGCGACTCGGTGGTCGGCTGATCTCTTTGGAACACCCTCCGACTTCACTGCTATGAAAGGCCGTGACGGACAGGGACCGCAAGTCGCGCTATGTTCCATTGCCACTGGAGGTCTTCAAAATGTAAGCCTATTTCCACCAGTGGAAAGATGATTTGCTAGCCACTTCAGACTTCAGAATGACTAAATTGGTTAGAAGTGAAGACCATGGAATTGCAGAGACTCACTCTTTCAACTTCAGACCCTTCAGACCCCACAAAACCTGGTTGCAGTCTGCACCCTCCAACCCCGGATGCACATGCTTCTTTCCGGTGCCTTCGGCAGCTCACAAACTGGCTTTCCAGACTCAGAAGGGCTCCAAGCGCCCAATGACGACGGTGCCAGGAGCTTGATTCACCTGGCAGTCAAAGGTTGGCGTAGTGCAGCTGGTGCCGTTGTTGATGTACTCCAGGTAGTCCTGCCATCTGACATGGGTTTAGTCCGCCTACCAACGGGTCAGTACCGGGTCGATACGGCTGGCGCCCCCCCCACCGTGGGACCTCCGCTCGCCCTATCGGTCCTGATAGTACTTGCCTCGCTGGCCGTGGCCGTCCACGATTTGGAGCAAGGGATAATGACACTCCATTCCCCCGGACAGAAACGGCCAGTCCTCTCCAAGGCCTGGATGCCGCAGCGAAGCGTCGAAAGATCCAAGCATCGAACGCAGGAGAAACACACCGGAAGAACCCGGTGAGAAGCTCGGAGTGGCGGTCCGGAACGTAGATTCTAAGGTGTTTTGTAAGGGAAGATCGGATTCACCCGGCAAAACGTTGCTAAAGAGGCGCCGGTGTTCCCACACCCATCCCAAAGACGCTCTGGATGATTCCACTGTCGAAGGTGGTTCGGATCAACGTCCTCAGCCAAGAAGGCCCGATGGTCGTTAGGCCTCAGGTGAGCAACGGGGCTTCGGACTGGGCGGACCATACGCGGAAAAAACGCACACGGTGCGAAGATGCCACTCAACTGGGTTGTCCCGGTGGTGAGGATTTGGGGCTTTTTCAAGTGTGATGTCATGTCAATGAGGTAGACCCAAAAAGGTTTTAGGTGCGAAACAATTTTAGGTCGAGAGATCTGTTTTTAAACTCACATCTGCATGTCGCGTGGCTCATGCGCTAAAGAAACACGTACGCTCTACGACCCCAAATTGATCAGAACTGGACCCAAAACCCACCAAACCTCCAAGACAAAGAGAGGGAGAGGGAGAGACAGAGAGAGAAAAAAAAATCAAATAAAATAACAACGGACCTGTATCACTCCTGTTTGTCTTGTTCCTCCTTTCCCTTTCGAGTCTCGATCCCAGCCGAACTTGGTCTTCTTCATGCTCACTCCGTTGAGCCAAGTGGGCAAGGTCACCTCCACATGGGGCGGGAACAAGCTGGGCAAGCCCAAGGTGTCGGACAAGATGCGACTCAAAGAGATCCGGATCATCACATCGATGAAGGTCATCTCCTGAGGCGGAGAGGCGGAGGGCGGAATTCGAAGGGTCCCGAGGAATTCGAAATCTGGAGAAATCGGACTCTGTGGGGGAGGTGATGTCCTTGACACCTGTTTCTGTGGGACCAACAAAGGGTCGCACAAGGCTGGTTGATATGAGTGGCTGTGAGCACCGGCAGGTGTGGTTTCTTTGGAACCCTTTCAGCAATTTACAAGAAGCTGTACTCCCCAATCAAGCAGTTCAATCCCACATTCTCAGCGCTTCTAAACAGAATATTGGTCTTCCAAATGAATTGTTCATGCCAGAAGTTCATGCCGCTGCTTCTGGGTCCAAACATGCAGCTTACCCCCAATCCATCCCAAAGATTGCCGCTTGCCCGCTGAAAAGCGAGTGAGACGTCGTTCCGAAGCAATCCTCATCTCTGAAGCAGAAGTCGTACTTCATGTTCCAACCGTTCCCATTTGCCCACTGCGTGCTCGTCACTCCGCCCTCATCCAGCCAAGACCAATGCCCTGACAAAGGCGAGCCACCATATTGCCTCCGGAGGTCAGCAAAAATCAGCGGTGCGGGGGGCGGGGGTGTGGTGCATGCAGCGCATGGAGGAACATCAGGGCGCATCATTGGAGAAGCAGGTGACCACAGCTTCAGGGCTTAGCCAGCTTAGCAGCCTTCCAAGATTGTCTGGCGCATAAGATTCCACCCAAGGACTACCCTTCACATGGACCGTCCCAATAGGGGACCCACTTGACCACCAAGACAGGAAATTCGCCAGAACCTGTTCGATCCATTCCCTTCAGCCGAAAAGCACCCTCGATCCCAACGCAACTTGCCCGACCATCGGGGGCCTCTTCATCCGTCCATCCGCCCAACGTCCGTCCCCCAACGGCCTCGTCGGCCTATCCGTCCAAACAAGGCATCGGTCCCCGCCTCACACCGGTGGCGCATTTCGTCTTCGGGTTCCAGGCCGCTTCCCCAAAGTGCATGAAGACCTCCTCCGCTGACAGGGCGCACACCTGCCGGTCCGCTGAGCTGGATGAAAAGTGTGAAAAGGTCAAAAATGGTGAGAAGAGCTGGAGTTGATTCTGCATGGGGAGTTTGAAGTTGTGTTTGTGATGGGGAAGACATGGGAAGACCCAAAAAAAGTGAACTGCGTGTCTTCAGCCAACTGCAACTGGTGCTTTAACAATCCGCCGAAGGCAGGTGCTTTCCGCCCCACCTGTACTCCCTCTGACTTGTGTCTACCCAATCAAATTCCCGAAACCTGATACAGTCTCAGCTATCAAAAGCCTGTAGACCAGCTGCTTGCCACAGAATCTTGGATTGCGAAAAGCCACACTACATTATTAATGGACTTCTTCGTGAGCATCCACCGGAAATCCCCTCGGACCTGCTTGTAGTCCGGCTCCTCCTCATATTTCCCACGCTTCCGCAAGGAGGTCCCACGCTGGTCCATCCAATGCACGCCGTGCAGTGAGGCGGGAAATACAGAGCCGTTCCGAGCATAGAAGAGTTCATTCTCAATCCCTTCCGCCTTCGCCGCAACTTCACCGGACTCTGGTGGGAGTCCAACACTGCTTTCAGGGCATGGTGTAGGTATCGATATGGGGGTCACAGGGTCAAAACATGTCAAAACCATTGAATGAGCGTCGAACATCCCCAAATCGACATCTCAGCGTCGAACATCTGTGCCTGATTGAATGGGTCGGGGATTCTCCCTGTGTTCCGTGTGCTACCCGTTTGGGGCATAAGTTGATTGGAGAAGATTCACTTCCGAAAACAGAAAAACGGAAAGTGGACGCGTGCTCGGAGAACCCCTGGCCAAACCCACTTCACGCTCGCGCAACCGCCCCAGTTCTGGGCCGCGCGCCAGGCGCGGCGCCTTGACACTGTACAGCTTGTAGGTGCTCTTCTCCCGGGTCTCTTCCTCAAAATGAACAAAGGTACCTCGCTTGTTGCATTCCTCAGCATGCGCTCTCAATGCACCACCACGGATCCAACGACCCTGAAGCCTAGCAACTTCTTCCACCACTGTCTCCGTGCTCCGGAATTTTAAGGTAAAGCTGCACACATCCTCCGCTCCACAATCTGTGGCGGGATTGAAGGTGCTGGTCCCCACCAGATCATGGCTTAAAACTTCATGGTGATCGTACAGTGACACCTTGATGGTGCCCACATCTGTTGGCAGGTAGATCTGCATATCAAGGTCCCCCTTGTTCTGGTCGTAGCGCACCTCTGACTTGTACGCAAACTTCCTCAGATTCTGAAGAGCAGTGAGTTCATGAACAAGACATACGCAACGATGTCTGTTTCAATACCGGTCTGATGTAACATCCAGCCTATCCAATCCCGTATTCATTCCAACATTTTGACCGTCAACTCGGCCAAACCGGGCGCCAGAAAAACCAGGAGCGGCTCCACCTGAACCATCCGAGATGGGTGTCCTGGCTGGAGATCCCGAACCACGGATGGTCCTGAGTGGAGCGGTCCCGCCGAGGCTCGAAGGGTTCACTTCGACATGTGCGTAGATATCACCTTCACTCCACCAATCCCAAGAGCCTTCCACCTGGTACTCGGTGAGTTCCTCAGGAAGAGTTCCACGAGTACGTCCGCGAGGCCAATGGGCCAAAAGGCATTTCGCACATCGAGTGGTTTGGGTGGGGAGGTTCTTCCGGAGACGAGTAGGTTGAGTAAGACTTGTGGAAAGCCATAGAGAACGGAGATTGCGGACACTTCAGCAGCACAAACATCCACAACTCCCTTTGTAGAAGAAAACCACCTGAACTCGGGGACAACCAGTGCACTGTGCCTTTTTTTGGGAGTCTTAGGTACGCAAACACCTCATTCTGGGTGATCGGTAATCGGTAGGCGGTAGGCGGCATACCGCGGCATACCTCAATTTTTCAGAGCTGTCCCACCGAAACATGGCAAAGTCTTTCTTCAGGGTTGCACACGAATTCCAATGTATGAGGACATGTTAGAACAGAAACACCTAAGAAATCATCGAGTCTACCCCAATATCCTGATGTACATCTCCCAAAGGCCCAAAGGTATCAATGTTCCTGTGCAACCCTGTGAAACATTCGATGCTTCCAGGATAGCCCACGAGGATGCTTCAAGGGCCACCGACGTGGCTGCCTTGGCCTTTGACTCTGCACCCATGCTCTGATGCCGATGTTTTTGCAGCAGGTTGCTCACGTCACAGTTGCCATCTTCGCAGGCGGCCAAGGCAGCAGTGAGGGCAGAAGCAGTTAGAAGCGCCCACATGGTTAGCACAAGAAGGAACGTAGAATGTTGTAGAACTGAGCAGCCAGAAAAAATGCAGCAGGGAATGGCAACCAACGCTTTGATGTGAAAAACCACGAGACTCGGCAACGAACCTTGCAGGGCCTCGAACCATCGAGTCACCAACCTTTCGGCTGGTTTCGGTCGGGTCATTGGAACCGTCGAACCCCAGCGGAAACGCGCCGATCGGCCTGCCTCTGCCGATCTGTATGAACCGGATTGCTTGTGCCATCTACACCCCGCAAGAAAGACAAACACAAACCAAAAAACAAAAAGAACTGTTATAGTATATACTGTACTTATATACTGTGTATATGTATATATATAATATATTATTATACAGAACATCACATCATGTGACGCAAATTCCATTGCGAACTTTCTCATAGATCCCACCCATTGGACACCTGACCGTTCCCCACCAAGTCCAGTGTGATCGCTCACCGTCGCCTGAACGCTGGTCCCAAGCAGTCGATTGATGAAGGTCGACCTGAGGACCGCTGAAGGGTCCGCGTTCCCTCACGCGTTCCGCACAACACGTTCCGTAAAGCCTGCTGCGGGATGAGTCAAAAGAGTTTGGTCGAGATATTGAAATCTCAATTTCAAATCCGGGTCCGGTTGTAGCCGTATGGCCCAGCAGCGCCTCAAAGGTTGTGTTTTAACTTTAATCCTTCGATTCAGCTGGGAATTCTTTGGGAATGGGCGAAAACCTGTTCAGTACTTCTAGGACGAACATCCACCGCGGCCAAGACACCTACCAATTTGCTGTGAACTTTGGCAGCCATAATATATCTTCCCAGTCCGTTGAGCGGTTGCCTTTCTGGTGGTCTGTGGTTGGGCGCTCGTGATCGACTGGGAGAGGTGAAAGGCAGGTTGCCCCTTCCAAACGTATCACGCTGAAGCGATCGAGGCTGGTCCCTTCGGGGCCTTTTCTCAAGGCCCACTCACCAGGTCTTCATCTGCCATCGAAAAAAACGGTGGTGTTTCAAGGTCTCATCGTCTTTCATCAGTACTCAGCCGCCCTGCCTTTTTCTCGACCACCGCGCAGACCACCGCCCGTACCACCGCGGCGCTCACGATTCATCCAGTCCACCACTCAGAGATCAGCATGCGCGCTTCCGTTTGGGGGGCGCTTCCGCACGGAAAGCGCGGGTCGTAAAGAACGATTCCATTCAAACAAACATCCTCCCAGGTAGTGGCCTCTCAGTCAGGCTTGGACCATTGAGACGTCTGAAGCATCAGCGACTGCCAAAAGGATCGCTCCTGGACACGTGTCACGGAGCGAAAACATGCCGTTCGCGCCGAGGCACATCGCTGGGGACACGGCCTTCGGGAGACCACGTTCGACGGAGTCGTTTCGAACCCAAAAAGAACGCTTTCCACCTCGGTCGGGCTCGTTTTGGCACCAAAAGCGCCCGGGACGGACGCCAAGCGACGCCGAGGCAACAGACCAAAAGCAACGAAAGTTAACCAACAAGCCACAACATCTTCACCAAGATTTCACCGAAACTCCAAGTGCCTCCGCTCCTCCCAGCGTTCGGTCTCCACCGGCAGCTGCACCTTGCGCTGCTGCACCGCCTTGGCCACCGTCTTCCGGGCACCGGGCGTGGGCGTCCGCAGGTCGGAGCTCGCCCGGCTGCGGTTGAGCCACTCACACTGCAGCGCTTCGCTGGAGGTGGCGCGGAGCAGCGGCTCCTGTGGTGGCGCGGTGGACGGGGACCGGTGTGGGGAATAGACATAACTGGGGAGGAGAGCGATCCAGAAGGAATCTCTTGCAGCTCTCACACAGAGAGGTGCTCCTGTTTGTTCATGTACCACGTGGTAGCAGTGAAGGATGGATCTCTGTTGCCATCAAGTTCCCTTTGACTATGTCTGGACACCACAAACACGGCGGTGTGTGGGCCAAACCTCCCAAGCTCCGTAGCTCCTTCCACTTGAGGGATTCTCAACTTGGCACCAATGCCCACCCAACTGCCAGGGCTCCGGTAAACGTATATAAGTGAATATGTTCACAACCAAAGCTCTGGAGCAGAAGAGTGAGAAAACCTGTATTGGCTCTATGGGTCATCCATCGAGCTTTAACCCCGCAGTGGGTGCTACGGGGCGCAGCAGCTCACAGCTTAAGGATGAACCAATATCCGACCTTCCGGGCACCAGTGTCGTAAATGGTTCAAACAACTGAGAGCAAAGGGACTCCTTCTCCAAGAGCTGCCCAAGGATGTACATGGCCTCCTTCGACACATTGGCGTTCGAGGAAGCCACGGCGCCAGTGCGGATGGCGTCCCAGACAGCCACCCGGCCCTGGCGATCAAACACCATCAGGACCGTCGGGTCTCGTCGTGTTTGATCGTATGATATCGTAATTATGATGTTAGTGGGCTTCAAGATTCTTCTAGGAGCTTCCATGTTTGGCTCGGCCCCAACGGTGCTCCCACCAAGTCCTCGCCTCACAATGCTGCAGTCCAAAGGGCAGCTGCCGCAGCAGCAGCACGTGCACCACCAGACCGACGCCCCAGAGGTCGGAGCAGGCGCCGCTGCGCCCGGCCCAAGTCTCCTGGCAAACCAAACCTGGCTGAACCCGAAACCCGCCTGGGTTCTGAGTGGGAAGCCACATGTCGATATGAGTTATGAGTTTAATAGTTAGATCGGCTTTTCAATGTTGGGGTCTGCCCACAATTTCACTATTGCTCAGGTTCAAATGCCCGAGAGCTTGGAAGCCTCTCATACCTGCCGAAGCAAGGGTTGAGCACCAAGACCGACTCAGAACGTCTACCGTGCAAGGCACCAGCACAAAATCTATGAAAACTGACATTGAGACTCATTAAAACATGATCGCGCATATACGTGTATCGGATGCAGCACGTGTGCCAAATTGCACTCCCTTCCAAATTCAGAAGAGTCCTGCTGAAAATCCATGGATCGGCCATCAACTTGACCCTCCCTAAGGAGCCTGTTCGGGATCCTCCACACCGCTGCGGTAAACGGTGGGTGTCCTATGGTGTCCTTTCCGGTCCCGAAAGACCTGGATGGTCCATCCCTTCAGAAGCTAGGCGCACCGGTGGGATCCAATGCATCGTTCCGCCCATCCCCAAGGCATACAGTTCTCGCGCCTCAGCGGTCAAAAGGGGGAAGGGGGATGAAACATTGGGCAACCAAGTCAAACGGTAGGGAAAATCCAGGAAACCTGTATGGAGGCCGGAGTATGGACAGAAGTTATATCATTTGTAAAAGTAATTTGCGAGCTTAAAGTACTATCCCTCGCATGTATCAAAATCTTTGCTCTGCAGGAAGGCGTGCATGGTGTACCGAGTTCAAAGTTAAATTGATTTATGTGCTGCATGTGCTATTAATCAATCAAACCTAAGAAGGGGAACCAAAGCCAATAACCCACCAGCATGCAATTTGGCACTGTTGGCCCACACCCGTTTTTCAGTGCCAATCAGAAAACTCCTTCCATGGTGGCACAGCAGAATGAAAGCAAAATGAAAGCAGAATGAAAGCAGAAACCCTCACAATCTACGAAGAGTCCATGGTTTTCCTTGCCCCCCTCTTCCATCTTGCACCAGCCAGTCCTTCAGCCCCTCTTCCGACCCCCCGGAGAGCTCGGCGGAGACGGACCCAGGCACTGAAGCCTCCACGACCGGCTCCGGAAGGACATGGACCATGCCCATATCAAACAGCTGAAGCGTTGGCGGTTGATCCTGGCACGAAAGGCCACTCAGCATGCGAAAATCTCCTTTTGGTGGGGGCATGGCCTTTAGGCACCGGGAAGCCTTCCGAAGGGGAACTAACTCTAGGAAGTACTGTTGATTCACAGATCGAAATTCATTTGGAGGCCGGAGGGGTCCCTTGTTGTCGATTGACAAACCTCAGACCTGTGCTGCTACCTATCAGTTTGTTGGCAAATGATCTCAACCTCGCCTCAACAACTGACTTGGTCAAACCGTCAAACCCAAAATGAGGACCACCCCCCTTTCACTCTTGTTTTCACGACCCAAGCCACCCAAAAAGCGGCCGCCCAGGCCCAGCTCCTGCACCACCGGCCGTGCGAAGCCGAAGTTCTGGGGCTTCACGTCCCGGTGCAGCGCCCCAGCGCTCCGGTGCAAGAAGTGCACCGCCTTCAGCCTAGCGAGCGCGCGTCGCCACCGGAGCGCGGAGCTCGGAGCTGAACGACGGCGGAGGTGTGGGGGAGAGCCGAGGGACATGGGTCGGATTCCGCCCGCAAAATCCTTCGAAGGGCAGGTTTTCGGGAGCCCTGACATGATCTCGATTGGCCACAGGTCGGGTTTGGTATACCTGCCTGAACAGATCACAAAGAGACCCACTGACTGGTAGGCCTGACAGGCCTGAGAACTGGCAATTCAGCCTTTGTGGATGCTATAGGATTGAACCAGCTTGAACCCAAATGTCCCCCATGCTTCTGTGAACCTCACGGAGTCCACATTGAGGCTCTTGGGTTTAGCACCCTCTTTACACTCCAACGTCCACACCAGGCCAGGTCGCGAACAGAATGCAACCTGGGCTGGATGATGAGCAGCTTTGGGGCCTCAACTTACTGTAATTCTGAAACTGCACTCTGACACACAAAAGACCCAACTCCAGATCCATCGAGCATCTCGATGAAAGGAAAAAAAGATACAAGTTCTACAATCCAAAAACTTGGTCCCCACAGTTGCTCTTTGGAGACATACCCAAACTCACCCAAATCCCATCCCACCAACCTCTCCCAAAAACCTCACCCTCTCCTCAGATCCACTTCTCACGCCAGAACTTTCCTCCATGAAACATCTGCTTTGCCAGCTCGCTCGCCAGAGTCTCAGGCAGTGGCTTGTTTTCCAGCTGCACGAGCCAATCCCGCAAGGTCGGCCCCTGCGGTCGACCACTCCGTGAAACCGAGTGGTCTTGCCAGGACGGAGCTCTCTGAGCTTCGAGGAGTGCACAAGGGGGGGTTCACTCAAAAGGATGAACCCCAGAGGGTCTCACAAAATAGCCAGCAGTGCCAGCAGTAGGAAGGTCGCCCAATTAAGCGGATGTGTTGCACGCAACTAACTGTGAGTCTCCTTGCACTACCCATCCACGGCCCACATTCCAAGGACCTAGTACCATAAGGGAGGGACCTTGGGGTAGAAAGCGCCAGCGTGCATGCTCCAAACAAGCTAATTGTTTGGAAAATGCCTATCCCTCATCTCTCAAACCCACAAAAGTGATTGCTACTGTATCTTTTTGGACAACTGTCATCCACCATCGAAGAGACCAGGTGTTTCTTTTTCCGCAGCGAGGTCCCTCGCGACGTTTAAAAAAGAAAAGACTCCCGGCACGGTCCTCCAGTAGCTCCATCGCGATATGCATTGTGTGTGGGATCTCCTCAAAACGGATCCGTCGGCGAGCTCACTCACTCGCTGCGAGCGACGGCGAGCGAAGGCGAGCGAAGGAGTCGAACAGGGAGTAGCGACGACCCACGTGGACCCACCGGAAGACTCTGACCCTCCGCAGCCGAATGGACGCGACCCGGACCCGGCTAACGTCTCGGCGAGGGGACGGCGTCCACAGCAAGTAGCCAAAAAACATCTTCGAGTTCAACGATCCTGCACGTTCGAGTTGAATGGGAAATCTGGACGGGATTAGCATCTTCCATTTGCAGACGGGAAGCTTCCCCGACATACTTGTGGAAGCGGTGCCGGTGAAATCTGTTGCAAAACGATCCTTCAAATCGTTGACACGGCGATCCTGTGCCATTTTTTGCCAGGGATGTCTCTCCCCACTGGCACAGCTTCCTTAAAAAGACTAGAAACACCCAGAAACAGAAGGTCTCTGTGCGTCCAAACATGAAAAGAGGTGGACGGTGTGGTCTCAAGGGTCTTGACCGAACTCTGCTGAACGGTCTGTTGAACAAGACTGTGGTACGTGTCTCGAGAGAACTGTGGGAAGTCTTTGGCCGAACTGTGGGAAGCACAGTAGAAATGGATCGTCCGAGAACGGTACTGGAGGCATCTCTTCGGTGGCCATGATGGTAAATGGAAGTGTTTGGGCACCCTATCTGGCACAAGAGTGTCAAACTGACTCATGCAACATCCCTCAAAAGATTCATGTTTCTGTCATTCTTCGACCTTCATCTTACAATGTAGGATCCAACTGTGCCTTTCACACATTCATCGCCATCCAGCCCATGCCACTTCCCCCCCCATGGACCTCTCGTTGCTTCGTCGTCTTTTCCGAACACTGGGCCCCATACGCTTCCCACCGCAGCCGCCGCCGCACGTTTCGCTGTTCCAAGCGTCCAAGATCCGCAGCAGGTTCCGCGTCACATGCTCCTCCGTGGCCTCGGGGCTAGCGATCACCTGCGGATGAGAGCAGCGGGGCCAGGGCACACGGATGAGAGCTTGTCTGGGGGGGCAAAACATGAGAAAAATAAGTCAAATCTGTTGCAAATCCATCAAAAACCCAGGAAGACTGGATCTTTCAAAGAAGTTAGCTGTCATGGCAGTCATGGTCGATTTCTTGGGTACTGCAATCGGTTTCCTTCCGCATGCGGATCAAGATCTAGCGCCTTCAAGAACTGGAGCATGCGCCCTGTGCTGACGCCCAAAAGGCCTTGCTTCGCAGCAGGGGCCAAGCATCCGACTTCATCCCGTGCACCAGCAGCAACCGCTAGAAGCACCAAAGAGATGTTTATTAAAAGCAAATTGCAGCATCTATGTTGCAATATATATATATATATTATATATATATATATGTATGTATATAGACATAATATATATATATATACTTTATGTATACTGTATACAGTACAAATTGGTTTTCAGGTTCGCTGGTTTATGTGGATCTAGAATGATCTAGAGGACTTCAATCCAATCCCAGTCCAAACGCGGCGCGTGTCGCACGTCGTGTCGCATGTCGCACGGTGTCCCAGCGGCTCTTGGAGATCATCTCGATCTCCGCGTCCCGCAGTGGCAGCCGCACGCGTTTCAAGGCATAGCCTTGACCCATCCGCAAGGCAGGCAGCGCCTTCACCGCACGCTTCGTGGGAGTGGCCTGGAAGAGAGGCAATGAAGCGTCTGATGGTTACCATGGCGAGACATCAAGTCGTTCGTGAAGGAGAGTAATTCCTTGCATCAAAGTATGAAGCGCAAATCAACAAAAGAAGGCCTTCTCACGCAACGCTTCTCACGACCGACTGCTGTCCTTTCCACCCCCAGCATGGCCTGCCAAACAGTGCCAAAGCCTCCCTCGCCAAGCACATGGCTCTTCGTGAAGTAGTCATCGATGCCTCCCAGAACACCCGGATGTGATGAATAGACTCAATAGAGACCGACAAAGCTAATCAAGCCCCAAGCAACCAATTGAAGAACCAGCCAAGAGATCCAACCAATAGTCTACTTGGCACGAACTTCATCTGCGTTGCGCACATTGCCTACACTTGGCCTACATCTCGGTGGATGAAAAAAACATGTTCCGCGCAGCAAAACTGCAGCTCTCCCGGCTTTCCAAGCCTCGGCCATTGGCCTCCAGGGTGATGATGCCTTCGTAAGTGGCCTAGAGATCTTGGTCTCGGATCTGTGGAACGTCCGACGCGGCTTACGTCGCTCATCTCCAACAGACTAGGAAGCTCAGCTCTGAACTCCTCAGGCCATGGCTGAATCTCTTGAGTGATAATGATTCGATCTGCACTGCATCTGGGCACTCACAGGCTTCTCTCATCCTAGTGTCTCACCCAAAGGAGCCTTCTCTCCACTCCACTCCAAACCCGGGTGTTTCACCGGACCGTCTCGCCTCGATCTCCGCGTAGCGCCGCCGCAGCTCCACGGTCTCTGGCCCCCCGGGCCAGACCGGAGAGCCGCAGAACCACCTGCGAAGGGCTGACCGTGGTTCCCCCGCAGCATCGAGATGGTCAGGTTCGTGGTTGAGAGTGGATGAAGATGATGGGAAGTGGATGAAGATGCACAAAAGATGGTCTGTTGGCATATTCCTGGAGCCGTTGGAGACTCCATTTTCTGTTGCACTTGCCGCAATTGCCTCTTGAAGTATTTATATAGGGGGTTCTTTCACTTGGCTACAGTAATTATCGATCAAAACCTGGACACAAAAAAGACATGACATGGGAGTTAAGTTGACATCTCTGTGATTCTAATCATTTTGGTGGGTGAACGTAGGCACCCCTCCAAATCCCTTCCATCCCTTCCGTCCCAAACGCTCCATGTTTCGGCTTCTCTCCCAACGATGCCTGCAACAGCCGCCAATGCGCAAGTGCCATCGTCTCCAAGTGCTCGGGTTGATGGTGGTGCCACCTCACAGCCGAGTCGGCAATTCTGGACCTGCATTTTCTAGAGAGATCAGGGAGGTGTTGGGGGATCGTGGATTCAGGATCATCCATGTGCTTAGTCGCAAATGTGGGGGTCCTTCCCCTTGAACAACGGCACCTCGTGCCACTTGAGATGCACCGAACTCCGTTCGCCCCACCGAACGCGCGCCTATGGTGAAGGACCGCTCCCGACTGTAGTCCGCCAGCATGGCGTCATGGCGTCATGGCATCAGGTCGGGGGGGTCGCGATGGACACAGCGAGGAGGTTCGATGCGCGGGGTGACTTTGTGGGTGTGTTTTGGGGTTTGCTCCGCTTCAGGGGGTTGGTCACGTCCACTTGGGTATAGTTCCTGACAGCCATCTGGCACCGGGGGGCAAGTGCCTTTCACATGTGTCTTCTGCAACAAAGGACGACCCCCAGAAAAAGACCATGACATCAAGGAGACGAGCGGCTACACTCTCGAAAGCAAACATATGGACACGAAAATCGAAGCTTCCAAGAGGTTGGGCAAATGATTGGCTCCAACCAAATAGGTCTGTGAGTCGCAGCCTTTGTGCTGAGTGGCATGGTCTTCTTCATAACCAACCACTACCAAGCTGTGAGAGAGCAGCGAACGGTCGCCCCACCTGGTTACACACCACAGGTACCGTCGGAACCTTTCAGGACACAGGACGTCTTTGGGGCCACTCTCCTCTCGTGCCCCAAACCTGGTTGGAACGGTGACCCGCCGTTCGCATCTCTACACCCCTCTTTGAGGGCTCATGGAAAATGGAACGAAAATGGAGCCATTTTCTGGATGGAATTCCGAAGATTCTTTCGCTGGAATGTAAGAGGAGTCACTGGTCTCGGATCAAGTCAGACGTCATCTGGTCAATCCAATTCAGGCTCCACACTCCATGCAATCGCTCGACCCCCAAGACCCGCACTGACCCTGTGGTGCCCCTGTCTGGCAACGGCCGGACACAGCTGGGTGTCCAACTTCCCGGCTGAATGGTTGCCCACCTGGCCACCAGCTGACGCGGAAGGTGGAAATAGCTCCCCAACAAACACCATGATTGACTTTACTAAGGGGACGGTTCCAGTCTATGTGATGTGTTCTTGTCCTTGTTCAGCAAGGGATTGTGGCTGGCGAAAGGAGTCATGGATCTGAAGGGTTTTAGATAAGTGCAAATTTCGTGGGCAAAACCATAAATCTCGCATCTTGAAAAGACTCTGAACAAAAGACAAATCACAAATGTATGGTGGAGAATCATGAAGTCATGAAGCTATGAAAATGTGAATGTGTTGTACACATGATTGAAAATGGTCAATCCACTCTGACCTATATAGAATTGCGGAGTTAGTGTGTAATCTCATGTTGTGTTTCCTTCTGTACAAAAAACAGTCTCCTTATGGAGCACCCAGGGGCAGTTTCCCTTTTTGTCAACCGTTTCCAACTGGAGTTGGGTTTGGTCAAGTTGCAAAAGAGGACGCGTGTTGCAGTACAAATGAAGCCGGCCGAAGATGGATCAATTTTGGTCCATAACTATACTAGCAAAGACCTGATGGCCCTTGTGGTAAGAATATTTGACAGGGTGCGCTGGTCAATGCAGTTGATTGGTGATTACAGTAGTAAGTTCTTGCTGCTGAGCACAAGAAATTGATTGATTGATTGATTGATTGGTGTTTTGTATTCAGTTCAGGAAACAACAATGTGAATGAACTAAACACCTCGGATCTGGGAGATGGGCAGGGCATGCTGTGGTGTGGTATCCAGGTTTTCTATGAACCAACTAGAGCATATGACAGCCACCCACTCCCTCCGCGTTGCGCACCACCAGGACCATGGGCGTAAAGGGAAAGGCCAGCAAGTCATGCTCGAACGGCTTGCCTGGTGCCAGCTTTGCAAGTCGCTCCAAATGGCGCGAGTGCGTCAGCACCAGCATCCGTGGGTTTCCGACACCCAAATCGAGGCTTGGCATCCATGGAGCTGCGCAAGGTGTCTCTGTTCGGCCCCCAAAACAACCAACAGTGTCCAAGGTTCTTCTACTCATTCTACTCAATGTGCCCAACTGCCGCTTTTCTGTTCCTGCTCTCTGTTAACCTCCCCTAATTACGTGCTTCTGGCCTGGAAGCCGAGCATCCAAGGGCCGAATGATGGCATCCTGGTGGTGCCAACGCGGCGCATCCACCACTATGGGGTGGGATGTAGGTATACCTAGGTTCGCACCCTTTCGTGAGCAAAGGGGTGACCTGTCCTATGATCCATGTCGTCCGGTGTGACCCTTTTTTGACGGATCCAAAGTAGTGTTTCAAGGGAGAGCCTTCTGAGTAGGAAACGCCCATTGATGGCTCATGATGGCGTGCGAAGAATGCAAAGACCATAAAGCAACGACCTCAAAGATGTGGGTCTGTCATAGGGTCGTGCCTTTTGGGCCCCCCCACCAATGGCTTTTGCTTGATATTCCACCTTCATAGGGTCGATGTCTCCCAGGGAGAAGGACTCGATTCATCGGTCCTGGAGGAAGGTCACCACCTTGGTGAGCTCGGTCATGGGCTCCTCCCGAGTCCGGCACCACGGGGCTGGATGGAACTGAGACTAAAACCATGCTGAAGGCCGTGATTGTGTTGGGAAGGAAGAAGGCTACTTCGCAAGTCAAGCGAGCTTTGGAGATGAAACCCAAAGTTCTAGTTTACTCTCACTCTAAACGTGGAAGTGGCATCCTTTGGGCTACCAACGAGTCGACGGCAAGCAATCGATTCCAATGCATATCAATACCTTGACACCTTGAAACTTGCAGCTAGCAAATGGGTTTTGCCTCGTGGAACCCCGCCCTTGGAAGCCCCCTTCCCGTCCTCCACGGTCTCTCCAGCGGCTAAGTCCTGTCGGAACGGGCGGCAGCTCCGATCCCGTTGGTCGGCGCTTCCCGGCGAACACGTGCCGCGCCTTCACGACAAAGGGGCGATGGAGGTTGCGAGCACGTTGGCTCCTGCGAGCACGAGACGCCCCAGACCCCGTCCTCGCGTCCGGGGAGTCCCCCTTTTCGTCCGGGAGGATCTGAAGCCTTGGTTTCAGCAAATCGCATGGCTGTGCCGTTGGGCAAATCGATGGCTGTTTGGGAGTGGAGGTCAATGAAACGAGTTCCAGGGTTGTGCGTCTCTTGCATCTCTGACTTGTCCACTTGAAGCCGAAAAGGGAGCTCCACGCCCTAGCCTAAGGGTGGTTAGCTCCACTCTTCGATGTTCTGGTCGCCCAGAGACGCCACCCTCCTCCATCGCCAGAGGAGCCCACCCGCAGAGGCAAAGGTGAGGAGTCCCACGACCTAGTGCGAGTTGGGTTTGGAGGTGGAACTTACTTGTACGGCCCACTTCTCCTCACATCGATGAGGTCCAGAAAGATGATGTTCCTCTAGAACAGGTGGTTGAACCCACGTCCCAGTTGCTGAGCCCCCATTCACCCTACTTCCCCACCCTCGAGATTCTCCGAGTGGTCACCTGGCATGGGCGACCTGGGTCAAGCCTCTATTTACCAACGTTTGAATACATGTTTGACCATTTGACGGGAGTCGTTGACCATGATGTTCTAGTTCTTTTTTCACAACCCTTACCCAGGTTTTCACTCCCGTGCCAAGACTGATTGATCACTCCGTGTCCACTGGCCTGTAAAATAGCAGCAAAAAAGAATTGGCTAGATCAGCAGATGCAACTTGCTTGCCTCAATTGCACATGTCGAAAACAAAAAGAAAATAAAAGGGCACCACCACCTGAGTGGAATCTCTCTGAGGGCCCCCAGCAGTGCCCAAGGCCTCCATGACGGGGGATCCAAAGCACTGGACCATGAGATCTTAAAGAAATACCAATTAGTTAAGATGTCTAATGGATCCAAAAACAGGGCCATCTTTCACACAGAACTGGTCTCTTCGCAAACCTTCCCTTCAGCGTTCTGGAAGGTGAAGAAAAAGAAAGATCGGGCATGAGGAGGCACCGCACTCCTGCGCCCCTTATCGTCTCTTCGATTCCTAAGCTCTTGTACTCAAAAAGAATCAAGGGGAACGCCGTGTCAAGGCGCTGTACAGTCTGGTTTGCTCTTTAGGCTTGGTCTATACGGTTCTGTCTCCTATTCCAAATGCCTGGAAACAATCCTGAATCCTGCTGCGAAGGCAAACCCACCGACTGAATGCAAAAACCCTCCCTGAGTGGAGTCTCCCATCACGGTCCCTGGCGCTCCAACGAGCCCACGTGAGTCCCACGTCGTGCACCTTCCGATCCTCCTTCAGCTCTTCCCAAGCACGGCTCCTTGGAGACCCGCTGAGGATCCTCTGGGTGGGTCGTCTACAAATCCATCTGTGGAAACCATAAGGAGCCCATGAAAACCATGTAGAATTTCGAACTATGTGGAACCATGTGGGTCGTCTTTCCTTTTAAAATGGAACAGGTCGGAACCCATGGGTGGATGCATCCCCCCTTTTTTGTGGACCTTAAAGCCTTCGGTTTTGGCCGGTGGCCTTATGTGGAGGCATCAAAGAACGGATCCACATGATGGAACCAGTGAAATTGGAGGAATTCCTTCGATTAGGCAGTGTTTCCATTTTGGAATCACCGTGTATGGGTGAATGGATCAACACATGATCAAACGGTTCCATCGAACTCTCGCGGTTCCCTACGTTGGTGGGAGTTCCTCTGCTGTTGCACAATCAAATCATGCTGCCAAGAGCTCCAAGACCCAACTGACTCCGGCAACTCAGGCGACCAGACATCTCTGGCCAGCTCATGGGGACAGCCATGTAAACACACGCACGAAAGCAGCGCAGCCAGATCTACGAAGTTCACATTCACTTGTGGAACATGGCGCCTCAGAAATCGCCCCCCATCTCCAAAAATCCTCAGAAAGCTGCTTGGCTTGGGATCAACTTATTTGGTCGGTCTGACTGGATTTGGATTAGGTCCTTAGGTCGAGTGGAGTCGTCCTAGGTCCTTAGGTCCTTAGGTCCTTAGGTTGGTCCTTCGGTTTCCCCGAAATCGGCACCCGAAGAGGGAAAGCATCCTTTGGGCAAACCATGCCTTTGTGGGGAAGACCGTGAAGAGCATATTCACCACCTGATGAAGGAATCAAGGCCTATCCAAACAGACGTCTATAATGACTCGTACATGTCTGTGTTTCATGCTGCACATCGAGTCAACATTGATTCGTCAAGTTCGATTGCCGTGTCTCACCGGGTGTCTGCTTTGTGCGACAGCGATCCGCCCCTCGAGCCGTGAGCACCGCGAGCGAGAATGGAAGCGTTATGTGGTACACCCGC